GCTTGCCTAGCATTCATGAAGCCCTAGGTTTGATTCCTCAGTACCACATAAACAGAAAAGACTGGAAGTGGTACTGTGGCTCAAGTGGTAGACTACTAGCCTTGAGCAAAAAGAAACTCAGGGACAGTGCCCAGGCCCTGAGTGCAAGCCCAGGACTAGCAAAACAAAATTTAAAAAACTACACCTACACTGACATGTGGAGAGCATATGAAGAATTCAATGTTCCCCTAGGAAATGTGTGAAGGAAACAGAAGAAAAGAAAACAGCGGCTGGGCTACTGTGGGCATTTCTCTCTGTATCTTAAATTTCCTTAAGACCTTTACTCCGATTTACATGACTTAAGAAATAAACTAATAAACTGATATACATATGGGTCTGGGTGCCTGGCAGGCACAAATTGCTGGGAAGGTGGCTTAGTGGTAGAGTGCTTGCCTTGCATGCATGAGGCCCTGGGTTCAATTCCTCAGCACCACATAAGCAGAAAAGGCTGGAAGAGGCACTGTGGCTCAAGTGGTAGAGCACTAGCCTTGAACTGAGAGCTGAGGGACAGTGCCCAGGCCCAGAGTTCAAGCCCCATGACCGACAAAGAAAAAGAAAGAAAGAAAAAGAGAGAGAGACAGAGAGAGAGAAAGGGGGGGGGAGAAGAAAATTGTGGTTTCCCAAGGGGGGGAATGCTCCTGAGCGCCACCTCTCTGCACCTGTCTGCCTCGCTGTCACCTCTCTCTGCCAAAGGGACCAGGCCCCTCCCACAGCAGCCCAGCTGCTACTTTCCTTCTGCTGCTGTCCTGTTTATCACAGGGCTACCGTTATTTCTTTCCCACTAGGGAAGCTTTGGAAGTCTAGAGAGGACACGTTTCTCACCCCACACACCCTTCAGGTCCCCAGAACACAGCTTGCCAAGCTCTTCTAGAATTTGCATCTGTCTCAACAGATACCTGTTTCATTTTAGAAATGCAGTAGCCAGGCTAAGGCCTTATGTTTCAAATGACTCCTACATACTCCGGGGATAAAGAAGCCATTTCAACCTTGCTTCTGGGTGCATGCAGAGCACCAGGTCTGGCCCTGTCTGCCCCCAACATGAGGAGCCCCAGCACACAGGAAAAGTCCCTGAGGTGGGCATTTCAAGGCAACTGCCCATCCTCGATGCTGTGTTCGACAGAAAGGAGTGACTGGACCTACACGTGGCTGGCACTCGGGCGCTCAGGCAGCCCAGGGCCAAAGCCCTGTGCCGCAGACAACCCCTCCACAGGCATGGCTTCAACGCCACATGCACAGACCACGATAGAGCCCCCATTCCTCCACATCCGCAAACTACATCAGTGGCATGAACTACCCCCTCGAGATGGGCAGCCTCAACTCCTGGAAAACTTGGGGAAATTGTCCTGTGTGTGTGTGTGTGTGTATGTGTGCGTGTGTGTATGTGTGTGTGAACTTGGGGAAATTGTCTGTGTGTGTGGTGTGTGCGTGTGTGTATGTGTGTGTGAACTTGGGGAAATTGTCTGTGTGCGTGGTGTGTGTGTGTGTGTGTGTGCCAGATTAGAGCTTGAACTCAGGGCGTGGGCTCTGTGGGGGGAGGGGGGTGCACACACGCACCAGATTGAGGCTTGAACTCAGGGCCTGGGCACTGGCTCTGAGCTGGTTGGCTCGAGGTTAGCACTCAACTACTTGAACCAAAGCTACATTTCCAGCTTTCTGGTGGTTAGCTGAGGATAAGAGTGTCACCCACTTTCTTGCCCAGACTGGCTTTGAATCATGACCCTCAGATCTCAGCGTCTTGAATAGCTAGGACTACAGGTGTGAGCCACCAGTGTGTGGCTCAGGAGCTAGCTTTTAAGTTCAGAGAAGCTAGGGAACTTTACTCTGGGTATAGCAAAGTAGGCAAGGGATCCCATGGTCCCTTCATTCCTTTGGGACCTGGACCTCCAAAGCCCAGGGCCAACAGTTACTTGACACAGGGCAATCCCTACACAAGAATGGCCTAACTGCAGGAGGCCTGCAGCACAGCGGGCAGGGTTGGAGGCACAGAGGACCAGGTCCCTCAGGCTGTATCAAGGGACAGATGAGAAGTCACCTGCACAATGATTTACAGCACTTTTACAATGGGCAGAGCATGGTTCTTTTTAATGATTTTGAATTTCAGGGATATTCCAGAAAAACCTGTCTTTCCTCTTTGTGGCTCATCCCACCATAGCCATCGCTGTGATCAGAGGGTAGCAACACCACAACCAGACTGCTTCAGGTCTGCCAACACTTGGAACAATGCAGCGATTGTTCATTTAGATTGTTCAGCAAACACAAATCATGCAACATTAAATTTAAGAGATGCAAGGATAACAAGCTAGAAGAAAAATTTCCAATTAGATATCCAACGACAATAATAAATTAGGTTTGGTTTACTACTTTCAGTCTGTGCATGAAGCAATCAGTGAGAACCTGTAGTCAGACTTAATAACAGCACACACTTTATCCATCTTCACTGTACTCAATCTCCAAAATAAACCCATTTTTCAAATGAGGGAACTGAGGCTCAGGCTCATTGCGCAACTTACCCAAAGTCACCAACTAGTAAGAGACTGAGATAGGCCTTGTCTTACCTGGCTTCAAGGAGGCTCTATACTTCCAGAGATTGGAAGAAAGGAATAGAACCTAGTCCTGCTGGCTGGGGCCTCTAGCTACTGGAGGAAACACAGACCCTGAATGTTCAAAGACAAGAGCTTCCTCCAGGAAGCCTCCTCACCATCTGCTTTACTCTGGTTTAGTAAGAACTCCTTTCTAGGTCTGCTCTGTCCTTTGGACTTTGAGCACAGCTCATGGCCCAGGGAGGCCCTCAAAACACAACCTGCTCAATCAATAATGAATAATCCAGCAAAGTTCCCAAGGAACAAAACCAAGCTAATCAAGTAGACAGAAAAAAAAATCAGGAGAGGATTTCAGTAACGAAGTTCCTAAGTTACAATAGATTTTTAAAAACAAACAAATGCATCCAAGCAAAATGTTATCTAAATATTACTCAAGTTTTATAATGAGTAATACTTTTGGTTTTTTGTTTGTTTTTTGGGTTTTTTTTTTTTTTTGCTGGTACTGGGATTTGAACTCAGACAAGCCTAGCTTGCTTGTCTTCTGCCTGGCTTTTTGCTGGTTATTTTCGAGATGGAGTCTTTATGGACTTTCTTGCCTAGGCTGAATTCAAGCAAGATTCTCTAGGTCTTAGCCTCCTGGTAGCCAAGATTACAGCCAGGACCTACCATACCTAGCTATAATGAGTAACATTAAATATCAGATGCTTATAATAAATATAAACACCCAGAGAAAATTTAAATGCTGACAATTTACTGTTCCTAAGTAGAAACCAAAGAGGCTAAGAAGATGGCATTAGGCTGTATAATAATATTATAGGCTGTATAATAATATTACAGGATGGATAGGCAAGCCAGAACTCGATCAAACCAAATAATCTGTAAAAGAGTACACCATAGAAGCAGGGAAGTAAAAACAAACCAGATAGCAGAAAAAGTAAAACCATCTTCAAATTCCTCTATCTCCTGTCAGATTTCAGATTATCTGCTGCTTTCCTGTTTGCCTACCATAAGTGAAAGTATACCCTCTGAAGTAAGGCATTACATCAGTGTCCTGAACCTAATGCCATCTTGACAGTTTTTCACAGTTAATACCTGCCAACCAAAAACATCAGGCATACTAGCAGGAAAGACCAAAGGAACAAAACTAAGAGAAAAATGAGACAGTAAAAAGACATACAGAAGAACCAGATACATAAGTTTCTGACACAGACTTCAACATAAATATGCTAACTAGATTCAATGAAACAGTGTAAGAGTAGAGCCTTTGGAAGACACCTCAAATGCTTAAAAAGGCTAGGATTATGCCTGCCATCCTAGCTACTCAGGAAGCTGAGATCTGAGGAATACAGTTCAAAACCAGCGTAGGTAGGAAAGTCCATGAGATTCTTACTTCCAATTAATCACAGAAAAAGCCAGAACTAGCATTGTGGTTCAGGTGGCCGAGTACTAGCCTTGAGGAAAAAAAACTCAGAGACCGCACCCAGAGTTCAAGTCCCAGGTCTAGCCAAAAAAAGAAAAAAAGCAAATGAAAGAAACGAAACCAGTACAACGTGAAGGATGTGACAGATAAAGCTCATATCTACAGAAATGAAGACACATGTCCTGGGTGCGTGGCTGCTGCCTGCCACGCACAATGCAAGAACGTTGGCAGAAAGCACTACCCACCTTCTATAAATGTAAGGAAAAGCTTAAATGTAATTTAAAACGAGAGAAACAGACCAAAATATTAGCATTCTGTTTTGAAGTAGCTGACTCATGGCTGCTTTTCAATTCCTTTAATATACTTTCCTTTATATGAAAAATAAAATTAAGATTTTAAGCCAGGCGCCGGTGGCTCATGCCTGTAATCCTAGCTATTCAGGAGGCTGAGATCTGAGGATAGCAGTTCAAAACCAGCCCAGACAGAAAAGTCTGTGAGATTCTTATCTCCGAATAACCACAAGAAAACCAGAAGTGACGCTGTGGCTCAAGTGGTAGAGCACTAGTCTTAAGCTGAAGGGCTCAGGGACAACGTCTAGGCTCAGAGTTCAAGCCCCATGACTGACAAAAAAAATTTTAACAGCTAGTGGCTAGGTTCAGTGGTAGAGCACTCAAGCATGAGGCCCTGAGTTCAAACCCAGCACCACCAAAACTAAATTAATTCAATCAAACAAAAATTTCTAATTTTTTCCACAGTATCACAAAGAATCTTAAACTCTGTTCGAAATTGTTAATATATAAACCATAACATGGCAAAAAAAAATTTCATTTGAGGTTTTTGTTGTTTTGTGCTCACATTACCAAATTCTGTTATTCTCTAACTACAGAACTATTTTCAGGCTTAGAAACACATTGTTCCAGTAGTCATTCTGATCAAAGAGAAGAAGCCAGAAGAGTCTGAAGTGCTTCCTCACAATGGTCAAGCGTGCCTGGGAGTCTCACCGTGAAGCTGTTGTTGACGTTTTTGGTGCTGGATTCAGCCACACTGGCATCTGTCAGGTCCACCTCATCAAATATGATTGACTGGAGATTAAAAAAAACACACATATACAAGGACTCAGCACACCAAGGCAGGGGCATCCCAAACCCTGGCTAGCACAGTACCTTACTCTCCCTTCACCTACACAAGCCCAATTCTTGAATCTGTGCTATCTGGTCAGTAAGCCAATGCTACCTTAACACCCTGCCCCACTTGATTCTCACAACCAGCACTGAGTTCAGTGATAATGCATGGTTGTGCTTTAATCCACAGAATTTATTACTGAGGAGCTGGTAATGTGGCTTAGTGGTAGAGTGCTTGCCTAGCATGCATGAAGCCCTTAGTACCCCATAAACAGAAAAAGCCGATGTGGTGCTGTGGGCTCAAGTGGTAGAGCACTAGCCTTGAACAAAAGAAGCTCAAGAACAGTGCCCAGGACCTGAGTTCAAGCCCAGGACTGGCCAAAAAAAAAAAAAAATCATTACTGATCGCACTGGAAAATAAGACAAATAACAAATGCTAATACTTTTACACTTATTCTTTGTACTAAACACTACCATTAATGCCACTGGTTCTGGTATTCAGTGCTTTTATTTATGTGTGTGTATGCATATGTGAGTATATATATCTGTGTGTGCATATGCATGCGTGCAAATCCTGGGAACACAGGGCCTAGGTACTGTCTTAAGTTTCTTCTGTTCAGAGCTGAGGACCAGACTCGGGGCCTTGTACTTGCCAGGCAAGTATACTTCCACTGAGCTAAATCCCCAACCTTTCCCTTAGCTTTTTTGCTCAAAGCTGGCACTATACCACTTAAGTCAGAGCTCTACTTCAGGGTTTTGTTTTTTGTTTTTTGCTAGGTAACTGGAGATAAGAGTTTCATGTCTTTTCCTGTCTGAGCTGCCTTTGAACCACTATCCTCAGATCTCAGCCTCCTGAGTAGCTAGATTAATAGGCATGAGCCACTAATACGTGGCTATATTCCCTGCTTTTAAATGTGAAGTATGTCCTCAGTCTATGTTCCAGCTGGGTCCAGATGGATCTCTGCCCTCTGTCTATAGTTTCTCCAGTCGGCACATGTAGGAAAGGTCCCAGCTAAAATAATGTACCGTATGGGAAAAGAGACTTAATAGAGGAGATCCAGCAATAAGGAAAAGCAGAGAGCCAGGCAAAAGGCATCTAGTTCTGGAGAGTTACCCAAGCTCCAATGAGAGCTGGGAATCAGGCTTAGGGACACCTCCCTGCCCAATTTCCCTTCCTTTCTCCCTCAAGTACCCAGATATAACTCCTACTCCAGATCCCCCCTTACTCCTTTACCTTCCTGTTCCCTCTATTCTAAGACGATTCCATTGTGAACCCTTGGAGGAAATATTAGTAACCAAGAAAATAGGTTCAATCTTCACCTTCCCCCACCAACAGGCCCAAAATAGCAGTTTTTAAAAACTGAGGGTTGTGGTCAGACCCTTTCTAAGCAGGCTGCTTTACTCTATTTCAAATTTTAGCACACTAACTCTCTAGGGACACATCTCAAAATGATTCCAGGTTTTTTTTAAGTATTAGGACTGCCACCAACACTGAGAGGAAAACAGTGTTGAGAATCTCAGCCCACATACCAGTGTGTGCAGTGTCTGACATCCCAGTCATTGTGCGTGTACCGGTGAAATGCACCAGCTCCTCCTCAGAGAGCACCGGCTTTGAGTCTTTCCTGCAGTGGACACTCAGAATGAGGGCTGACTGCCGGAAAGCCTAGAAATAAAAAAATCCCTGTGCTCTCTTTGGAAGTGCATTTACTAAAATTAGAAATGAAGTAGAATCTCACACACTCACTTTAAAGCGACTTTTAGCCCATAATAGAGAGATCCCTGGGGTCTGAAAAGAAGATATCTAACTAGAAGACAGTTCTATAATCACTTTTCCATTCTTACAGAAAAGTGAATAGAAACGGTATTTATTTATAAGCAACAAAATATGCTTTGAGACAAATAAACCCTGACAGCTTAGAGTGTTGAAAACTAGCTGCAAGTAAATGGCCTGCAATCGACTCCTGCCTGCCCTGGAGCACCGCACATGCAGCGGCCACAGGTGTTCTCCCCCAGCCTCACCTTTGCAGTTTTGGCGTAGTATAGAGTTCGCCCTCGGAGCTTGAAGTATCTCCTCTTTGATCGCTGGAATGAGTTGTTCTGTTTGGTCAGCATACCTTCTTTGATGATGGTCTGAAAGCACAGGAACATACTTGTGAATGTGCGTTTCTGAAAGGCCTCTTTGCCAGGCTGACTGAAACACACCCTGTGGTGGCCATGAGCCTTCGTGTCTCTCAGGAGCAAGCAGCCTACCAAGAAAAATAGTTCTCACACTCTGACAAACTTTGACCCTTGTGCGGACCAAGCACTGCTGGGGGAGGAGGGGGCACCACAATCCTCTCGGGGCAATGCAGTGATTGTGTGGGCGAGGTGTCAGCGGCCCAACATGTGCCCTAAATACACTCAGATTAGCAAAGGGGAAACTGAGGCTCATGGGACTGCAGTAAGCAGTAGCTGGGGGACAGCTGGGACACGGGTCTGGTACATTCTCCAACGTCAGCATTTGGTGTTTTCAGCTATTCTTGGCCCCGTCTCCATGTTCTCTGGCCTCCTGCCATTTCTCAGGATCCTGTTGCCAAACTGTCTACATCCATCTCTGGGGTTGAGCACAGTTCCAGGCCTGTGCTCCATTTGGCCATCTGCACTGTTCACTGGCCAGTAGGGGCAGCTAATCTGTACACTGAGAGAGAACAGTGCCAAGGCCTGACGCCTGCCCCACCCACAGAACCCACCTCACACAAGAGTGCCCAACACTCCCCGGAGACACACATGCTCAGGGAGCTTCTCAGTCACAAGATGCGCTGAACCATACAGAGCCACGAGTACAGTCCACTAATAACTGGGAAGGGACCGGGCGCCGGTGGCTCACACCTGTAATCCTAGCTACTCAGAGGCTGAGATCTGAGGATTGCGGTACAAAGCCAGCCCGGGCAGGAAAGTTCGTGATACTCTTATCTCCAAAAGACCACTAGAAAACCAGAAGTGGTGCTGTGGTTCAAGTGGTAGAGCGCTCGCCTTGAGCTGAAGAGCTGAGGGACAGCGCCCAGGCCCAGAGTTCAAGCACCATGACAGACCAAAAAAAAAAAAAAAAAATGGGAAGGGGAGGGGGCCCAGTGGCAGAGTGCCAGCCTAACAAGTCCAAGGCCAGAGTTCTAGCCCTGGCATTGCAAAGAAAACAACCCACTTGCAAAAATGAAAAAAACAAAAACAAAAACTAGAACCTGATACCCTGCTTGGTACTTTCTTACACTATGCCTCACAAACACCCAAGCCACAAGGAGCCTTAGCACTCCCGTCCAGCTTTGCACTTTAGTTTACTTTACAACAGTACATGTACAAAGTACATACACGAAGTACACCCAAAGCTACTTTAAACTTCCAAAGGTAAAGCCAGAGTGAATCAGGTCACCCAAATATGCCAGGATGTGTGAGAAGCACGTTGGCCTGTCTGGATTCCCATAAGCCTGTCCATCACAGGAGGAGGACAGAAAAGACTCCTGAAGTTGCCCCCCACCCCTGACACCACACACAAAGGGTCAGGCCCAGTAACACAGGGTCTCTCCCTCTCCTCCTCCCTCACCCACACTTCTGGAGGCTCCCCTCTCTCCCACAGGCCCCTGGCATGGAGTATGCTCTGGGACCAGCCCGCTGCTACTGTCGGCCTCCTCCAACTCCCTCAAAAATTGCTATGAGTCTACTTTCTCATGTGTGGCTTTCCCTTCACCCTACTTCTGAAGAGGTCACCTACTCCCTTCTCCCAGGAAGAAAGAAATGAGAAAGTCAACAATATCCCACAGTCCAGGGAGACACACACCAGGTCTGTCACGAACACAAGCGGGCCCTGTACTGAAACAGAACAAGGTACAGTAGCTAGGGCACAAACCATGGCAGCCCAGAGGCACCAGTGACCAGCTTTGCCTCTGAGCATCCTTCCAGACCCAAAAGCACATGGCGACACTCACATCAGGCCATCTGCACACAGCAACAGCAGTCAGGATGCCTGGACACAGGGATCCTCTCTGTGGATCTCAAAGAATTCATGCTGCACAGACGTTCGTCCCCGTCATTCTCCAACCCCCACCCCCACCCCCACCATGGAGCTTCCTTACCTCGACAGGGGAAGAAAGTGCTGCCATCTCTTTCCTATATGCAAATTTAAAAATACCAAAAAAGATAACTAAACCAGCAAGTCAAAGCCCGGGAAAGTTTACAAATTATCTTTAAAGAACAGATGCTAAATAAAGTACTTTTCCTACATCTCCTGCTACTCATACATAAAAGAAAAAGCAGAATGAAAACACAACATGCTTGTGTATGCGCGCACGCACGCACTTGTGCACACACACACAAAACAATCTTTCACAAAGCGGATGAGAGCCTGTATCTCAGGCCGACCAAGGAGACCTGCTGTTCTATTTATAGAACAAGCATGCTCAGAAAAAGACTGGTGGGTTTCAGCGGAAAAGGCTGAAGAGAAGATAAAGACCAGTATTTCTTCGAAGCTTTTTCAGAAAGTACATTTCTTCTCCTCATTTGCTGCACCTAAATACTATAGGCATGTTGCCGAATATTTTAAAATATCAAGCCAAAGCAATGGTCAAGAAAATCATGTGCTATGTTTTGCACTGGTGGCCAGTGAGAGGCAGCAGGGAAAGACTGGCCAGCGGGCAGCACTGCCCAGTCGGGGCCCATGCCTCCCCTCAGTTCTGCTCCCACAGAAGGCTAACCACAGTTCAGTCCTCTGGAGTGCCCGTGCTTCAATCAAAGACCTGCAGCTCACACGGGCACCAAGAAAATGCCTGGCCATCAGCAGATGGCAGAAGAGCAGCAAGCTGGAAAGCCATCACTCCAATATTCCCAGCTCTAGATAGGATAAGTCCTGAAGCAAAACCTGGAGCCCAAGTGAGGAAACCCACACAGCCCTGGGAGCCATAACCGCCTCCTGACGTGACAGACGCACAGGCAGCCCACAGGCCCAAGACCACGTCCAAGGGGACCAGGAGTCTCCAATAGTCTCTACTCAAGAAGGCAGTTCCAGCTGGGTGCTGGTGGCTCATGCCTGTAATCCTAACTATTCAGGAGGCTGGTATTTGAGGACTGCAGTTCAAAGCCAGCTGGGAAGAAAAAGTTTGTGAAACTTATTCCAACTAACTAGCAAGAAGTCAAAAGTGGAGGTGTGGCCCAAGAGTACAACACCAGTGATGAGGAAAAACACTATACGGCTAAGTAACCAGTCCCTGAGTTTGAGACCAAAAAAGGAGAGGAAGGAGAGGAGAGAGAAAGAAGGAAAACAGGAGGAAGAGGAGGGGGAAGAAGAGCCAGAGGTCCACCAGGCCCTCTCTCTGGAAGGGACCATGGGTCCCTGGATCCAGTGGCGGGAGTGGAGGACAGCGCCCAGGCCCGAGTTCAAGCCCCACGACAGAAACAGGATAAGACAGACAGGCAGATAAATAGATGGATAGAAGCTCACGCCTGTAATCCTTGCTGCTCAGGAGGCTGAGATCTGAGGATTGTGGTTCAAAGCCAGCCCAGGCAAGAAAGTCCATGAGCCTCTTATCTCCAATAAACCACTCAGAAAACTGGAAGTGACGCAGTGGCTCAAGTGGTAGGGCACTAGCCTTGAGCTGAAGAGCTGAGGGACAGCACCCAGGCCTAGAGTTCAAGCCCCAGGACCAACCAAAAAAAAAAAAAAGATAGATAGATAGGGATACAGGGTAGAAAGCCCAGGTGACTCCACAAGTGTCCAGCTCAAGGAGAAGAAGGATCTATTCTAAACATGCTGAGTCTGCAGGGAGCCAAAAGCCGGGAAGTTCAGAGTAGAACCGGCACCAGCAGACCAATTTGTAAAGATGCTGGACAAGGTCCGCTTGAACATGTGAGAAGGCATGAGATTCAAGGAGGCTCAAGGGAACAGGGACCCCTACACCAAAGGTAGAAAAGAAGAGAGGAAGGAATAGGAGAGCACAGGCAGATGGCGGGTGAAGGCCAGCTGCATGGTAAGGTCGCAGCGAGACATGGGAGATCAATACTCGTGGAGCAGGCTGGGTGGCCGGGCAGAGCACAGAGCCGCTCGGCACAGGGAACAGGCCCAAGGGGAAAGAAGGAAACCACCTTACTGTTGGGGAGGAGGTGGAAGCTGCTCCACAGGTGGCCTTAGCCCCCTCCTGCCCCTGCCCTAAACACAGACACAGCGAGGGCTGTGGTGGGCACACTGAGAAGTGACTTCAGGGAGCAGCACCATGCATCCCACGGTAAAAGTCCCTGTCCACTCTAGGCTAGTACTGAACTGAACACTGGTGTCACCAGGATCTGAGGTGCCTCCCCCACGCTGTTCACCGGCTCTTCTGACCCCACTCACCCCTGTCACCTGTGCTTCACACACACACCCTACCTGGCTGCCCCACACCACTGACTCCTCGTGCTAAAATACTCAAGGTTGTGCCCTTCCTCTTCCTGAGTTCGGGTTTCCACCTCAAGCTTTCCTGTCTCCTGCCTCTGTGCCTCAGTATCTCTCACAGTGTAACCCCAGGGATGGGGGTATAGCTTAGTGGTGGTGGAGCAATTTCCTGCCATGGAAAAAGCCCTGGGTCCTGTACCCAGAACACACACACACGTACATACACATGTACACACACACACACACACACACACACACACACACACACACGCACACACACGAGCCAGCCCCCTGCAGCAGAACCCTGGCACACGAGGAAAAATTCGGCATACTCCATGCTCTGAATCCTAGGACAGCCCAAGTGGTCTGGGCACAGCCAGGCTGGAGACGAGGTATTGGAGGCTATCATCCTTCCTGCAGCCCGCCACCTCAGTCCCCTTGGCCAACGGCGGCTCCAGCTGCCTGGCCTGGGATTAACTGGCAGGCTCTGAGAAACTCCAACTCCAGGCTGCGCCCCACCAGTGAGATCAGAGCACGGGGCTGGGCAGGGGCACTACAGGGCACTACCATGTTTATGGCACCAGGCCTGAGAATCCAGATCCAGTCACAAGCCCGCCCTGCTCTCAGAGGAAGCCTAGTGGGCGCGAGCTCTGCTCCGACAGGGTCCCCTCACTGTCCTAGGATCTTCGCAAGGGCTTCTTGTCACCACACTTTTTCAGGGTGCAGGGGAGTACATGGTTTGAACTCTGGACCT